CAATGGAGCGAGACTCCGTCTCAAAAAAAAAAAAAAGATATACAGGTGGCAAATAAGCACATGAAAAGGTGCTCAACATCATTACTCATTAGAGAAATGCAAATTAAAACCGTAAGAAGCTACTACAGTTAATACCAAAAACAGCCTATCTGATGAAAGAAGTGACAGCAGTGGTCACCTTTAGAAGGGAAGGAGTGGGAGAGGCCACAAGGAGGCTTCTATGGTACTAGAAATGCCTTATTTTTTTTTAGTAGCGTTGGTGAATAACCCAAGGGGTTCATTTTGTACCACTTATGCTCACCTTTATACATAAACTACACTTCAATTAAGAAGTTCAGGCCAGGCAGAGTGGCTCACACCTGTAATACTAGCACTCCAGGAGGCCAAGGCAGGCAGATGGATCACCTGAGGTCAGGAGTATGAGAACAGCTGGCCAACATGGCAGAACCCCATCTCTACTAAAAATACAAAAATTAGCCAGGCATGGTATATGCCTGCAATCCCAGCTACTCAGGAGGCTAAGGCAGGAAAATCGCTTGAACCCAGAAGGCAGAGGCTGTAGTCAGCCAAGATGGCACCACTGCACTCCAGCCTGGGTGACAGAGCAAGATTCTGTCTCAAAAAAGAAAAAGAAAAGGAAAAGAAAAATTCACCTCAAAAAAGAAAAAGACTTCCCAAAAACGACCCTTCATCTAGGTGGTTTCACCAGTGAATTCTAACAAACATTGAAGGAAGAAGTAACACTTTTTTTTTTTTTTTTTGAGACGGAGTCTCGCCCTGTCGCCCAGGCTGGAGTGCAGTGGTACGATCTCGGCTCACTGCAAGCTCGGCCTCCCGGCTTCAAGCCATTCTCCTGCCTCAGTCTCCCGAGTAGTTGGGACTACAGGCGCCTGCCACCACGCCCGGCTAATTTTATGTATTTTTAGTAGAGACAGGGTTTCACTGTGCTAGCCAGGATGGTCTTGATCTCCTGACCTCATGATCCACCCACCTCGGCCTCCCAAAGTGCTGAGATTACAGGCATGGGCCACCGCGCCCAGCAAGTAACACCATTCTTAAAATTTCAAAAAATAGAATTTCAACTAATGATACCAGCATAACCTGACAACAGAACTTGACAATAGCCTCAGAAGAAAATTACAGGACAATCTCCATCAGGAGAGAGCTGCAAAAATCCTAAACAAAATATTAAACTGAATCTAGCGGCATATATAAGTTTGGTTTATTCCAGAAATACACTTAACATTTGAAAATGGGCCAACATAATTTATCAACATTAATAAGAGAAAAATTACTTGATTATCTTGATAACAGGAAAAACATTTACAAACAACAAGATTCATAAGAAACACACACACAGCCAAGTGTGGTGTTGGGTGCCTGTAATCCCACCTACTTGGGAAGCCAAGGCAGGAGAATTGCTTGAGCCTAAGTGTTCAAGGCTGCAGGGAGTTATGATCACACCACAGCACTCCAGCCCAGGAGACAGAGTGAGGTTCCGTCTCCAAATTAAAAAAAAAAAAAAGAAACCAGCCAGGTGTGGTGGCTCACACCTGTAATCCTAGCACTTTGGGAGGCCAAGGCGGGCAGATCACCTGAGCTCAGGAGTTCGAGACCAGCCTAGGTAACATGACGAAATCCCATTTCAACTAAAAATACAAAAAATTAGCTGGGTGTGGTGGTGCACACCTGTAATCCCAGCTACTGGGGAGGCTGAGGCACGAGAATCACTTGAACCTGGGAGGTGGAACTTGCAGTGAGCCAAGACTGTACCACTGCACTCCAGCCTGGGTGGCAGAGTGAGACTCCGTCTCAAAAAAAAAAAAAAAACAAGAAACACACACACACACACACACACACACACACACACACACACACCTCTCTTAGCAAAGCAGGAATAGCTTCTTTAATCTGATATGGGCCGGGTGCGGTGGCTCAAGCCTGTAATCCCAGCACTTTGGGAGGCCAAGATGGGCGGATCACGAGGTCAGGAGATCGAGACCATCCTGGCTAGCACGGTGAAACCCCGTCTCTACTAAAAAATACAAAAAACTAGCTGGGCGAGGTGGCGGGCGCCTGTAGTCCCAGCTACTCGGGAGGCTGAGGCAGGAGAATGGCATAAACCTGGGAGGCGGAGCTTGCAGTGAGCTGAGATCCGGCCACTGCACTCCAGCCTGGGCGACAGAGCAACACTCCGTCTCAAAAAAAAAAAAAAATCTGATATGGAGTTATCTACAAAACAAACAGCTAACATCACACCTAAGACTGAAATATTGAAAGCATTTTCTGAAAAGGGAAAAGAACGATGTCTTCTACCACCACTTCTTTTCAACATTCTACTGCAGGTCCTAGACAATGTAATAAGAGGAAAATTTATAAAGGATTGGGAAGAAAAAAATAAAATTGCCACTATTCATAGTGTACATAAGTGAAGAAAGCCTAAAAGAATCTACAAACTGGCCAGGCACAGTGGCTCATACCTGTAATCCTAGCACTCTGGGAGGCCAGGGTGGGTAGATCACTTGAGGTCAGGAGTTCAAGACCAGCCTGGCCAACAGGGTGAAACCCTGTCTCTACTAAAAATACAAAAAAATTAGCCAGACATGGTGGTATGAGCCTGTAGTCCCAGCTACTTGGGAGGCTGAGAGGCAGGAGAATTGCTTGAACCCAGGAGGCAGAGGTGGCAGTGAGTCAAGATGGCACCACTGCACTCCAGCCTGGGCTACAGAGTGAAACTCCATCTCAAAAAAAAAAAGAAAGAAAACAATCTATAGGCTATTAATCTTGAAGGATAAATCATTAGCCTCTACCAGTAAACTTTTAAAACTCAAAAGAACCTATGTAAGTAAACAAAGAATAAATGAAACTGATATCATTGTACAAAGGAATCTTTTTTTTTTTTTTGAGATGGAGTCTCACTCTGTTGCCTAGGCTGATCTCCGCTCACTGCAAACTCTGCCTCCCGGGTTCACACCATTCTCCTGCCTCAGCCTCCTGAGTAGCTGGGAAAACAGGTGCCTGCCACCACTCCCAGTTAATTTTTTGTATTTTTAGTAGATACGGGGTTTCACCGTGTTAGCCAGGATGGTCTCAATCTCCTGACCTCGTGATCCACCTGCCTCAGCCTCCCAAAGCGCTCAGATAACAGGCATGAGCCACCGTGCCTGGACACAAAGGAATCTTATACAGCAATAAAAATGAACTACATAGCCAGACATAATGGCGTGTGCCTGTAATCCAAGGTACTCAGGAGGCTGAGGCATGAGAACTGCTTGAACCCAGGTGGTGAAGGTTGCCGTGAGCCAAGATCGTGCCACTGCACTCCAGCCTGGGTGATAACAGCCAAAACTCCGTCTCAAAAAAAAAAAAAAAGCCTGAAAGACACCAGAAATAGCACATCCTAAAGAGTTTCATTTATACCTTCAAATGTATAAATGAAAACAGGTAAATTAACCTGATGTTAAAACTCATCTTTGGTTCATGATTGGCAGATAGTGGTTACTTTTAAAAAGGAAGGAGGGCCAGCCTGGGCAACAGAGTGAGACCTTGTCTCTACAAAAAAAATCAAAAAATGAGGAGACAGAATCACTTGAGCCTGAGGGGTTAAGGCTACAATGCGCCATGATCACACCAGTGCACTCCTACCTGGGTGACAAAGTGAGACCCTGCCTGAAAAAAAAAAAAAAGGACAGAGCAACAATTGGTAGGCAGTTCAAGGGGAATTTCTAGAGTTCTGTAATATTTTACATCTTGACCAGGTGATTGTTAACGTGGATGTATTCACTTTCTGATAATTCACTTAGCTGTACACTTCTGATTTGTGCATTTTAATGTATACATACTATATCTCAATGTTTCAAAAAGGGTTATTTCAAGTATTTCTAATCATATTCCACTACTAAAAACACTTTAACAATTCCCCATAGCCTAAATGCAAAATTGAAGCTCTTAAGCATGGCAAAGCATAATATGGTTCCTATCTTTAACTTAATCCTCATGTCTGTCCATCCCCACGGATACTTTGTATTTCAATTTGTCAAATTATTTACAGGCCCAGAACATAAAATACTGCTTCAGCCTTTATGCCTTTAGATAATATTTCCATTAGTTGATATTTTCTCCCTCTTTACACTCCACTAGGTCACCATACTGTCCTTGAAATTTCCACCCAACTTGGATATTAACTCCTCCAAGATGCTTCCCTATCCTTCCACTCCAAAATTAATCACTCTCTTTTCTATATTCAGTGTATTACTGCATGCATCAAGTGATAGCACAATTGTCTGTGTCAGTCCATACTCTATTGTAATGTAAACAATTCAAGCACAAAGTCTAAATTTTCATGTTGCCAATGCCAAACATGAGGCTTGGCATTTGGTGGTTACTCAACAAATTTCACTCTTATGTTTATTTCTGTACTAATTAAGACTGTAAAACTATCTAGGATGAAACCTAAGTCTTATAATTCCTCCATAGCACACAGCATAGCAAGAGCACACTACAGGCATACAACAGTGATGGTTTAGCTAGCAGTGGAATGTTTACCAAAACACAGTTCCATGGACAAAATGCGCTTTTCAAACCATATGCTCACCTAAGATATGTATGTCCTACTGGAATGCCAGAAGGTCATATTTATATATATATGTGTGTGTGTGTGCATGTATATATGTATGTGTGTGTGTATATATATATTTCCAGAGTTTTGAGCTACAAGAAACCAATAGCAATCACCTAGTTACAACCCTTAGGGAAGAACTGAAGCCTAGAAAAATTAAGTGGCTTGCTCAAGAATAAGGCTATAGCCAGAAGGGTCAAGACTAGGACTGAGATTGCCTAGGTTCTCTCACAATCCATGTAGCCTCCCTTTTGTACTATGTGACTTCTCAAAGTATGACTGCTTTACAGTTTTATATTTACATGGTTAATATCCACAATTGCAGGGCTTTTAAAAATTTTCATTTTAAAATTTGTCTCTAACGAACAAATACTAAAAGTACCAACAAGTTCAACCAGGAAAACACCATTTCCAGTTCCAATATCAAGCACTGAAGCATCCAATGGAATCTTGTGTTTCTGCATCCACCTTATTAGTCGGTTCATACTCTCTTCTCCAAACCTGTTAGAGAGAATCAGTCAAATAACTGAGGGGTACAGAGCAAAAGTCACCACTACATTCCATTTAAGCTATTTATACCATATGCTCAAACTCTTATTTGAAAGTGAAAACATCTGTGACTGCTTAAGCTTTGTCTCTACTGTAATTTAGAAGAAACCACCTCCAGGAATACAACAGAATAGACAAGGTCAGTATGTTACTAACATTTCTCTGTATCAGCATTAACACTTGTATGTGTTGGTGGCTCAAAATTTTATTGTTTATTGAAAAAGGACAACTACAGGGTGAAATGTTGTCATCAAATGTAAATGTGAGATTTTAAAAGAGGACTCACACCCATTCTCCCAACATTTTGGAAGGCCACAGTAGGAGGACTGCTTGAGGCCAGGAGTCTGAGACAGCCTGTGTAACACAGTGAGACCCTGTCTCTACAAAAAAGAAAATTTGCTGGGCATGGTGGCACACAGTTATAGTCCCAGCTACCCAGGAGGCTGTGGCGGGAAGATCACTTGGGCCCAGGAGGTGCAGGTTGTAGTGAGCTATGATGATCATGCCACTGTACTCCAGCCTGGATGACAGAATGATACCCCACCTCTCTTAAAAAAAAAAAAAAAAAAAAAGTAAAAAATAAAAAATAATAAAAGAAGAGACATACTTTAAACCTACCCACTAAAGCCAGACTTAATCCAGGGTTCCCAGGATTTTTAGGCTTTCTTTGGGTATAAGCACTTGAATATATACATATTTGTTTAAACACACACATATACATACAATCTTCTAGATTATAACTTGATTATTTTCCTAACTCACCAGATTTCACCTGTATCTCCAAATTCTCGGAAAGTTTGCAGTTCTCTCTCATAGACAGCATCCCAACTATGTAAACAATGAAATGCAAAGCGAAACTTTTGAATTAAACTGTATTATGAATTAAATGTATGTTTCTAATACATTACAGAGCTATTTATGACAGAGGTTTAAAACATCACTAGTGTTATTAATAAGTACACATAGTTCAATCTTTTAACACCCTTGAGTTAAAAGAATGAAATACCTGGGCAAGCAGAATACATCTATACTGTACATGTAAAGCATTTAGGACAGTATCTGACGCACAACAATAAGTTTTAGCCTAAAAAAACACAGACATTTGTCCACGTATCCCTAAGTCCCTGACCCAACTTCAAAACTTGATGAAACAAGCACATCTGGTCTCAAGCGTGCAGGCACACAGTCTCTTTCCCGTGCTATTTGTCTCTGCCTATTCCAGTCTTCTAGCCCTCCGTTTAAATTTTCTCTGAACGCTTTTCTTTCTTTTTTGGGACGGAGTCTCGCTCTGTCGCCAGGCTGGAGCGCAGTGGCGCGATCTCCGCTCACTGCAACCTCCGCCGCCCGTGTTCAAGCGATTCTCCTGCCTCAGCCTCCCGAGTAGCTGGGACTACAGGCGTGCGCCACCACCCCGGCTTATTTTTGTGTTTTTAGTAGAGACGGGATTTCACCATGTTGGTCATGGCTAGTCTCGATCTCCTGACCTCGTGATCCGCCCGCCTCGCCTCTCAAAGTGCTGGGACTACAGGCGTGAGCCACCGCACCCGGTCCTCCGGATCCTTTTCATTTGCCTTGTCTTTTCCTACAATGATTCTCTAGAATCCCTGCTCCCTCTCATCCCGCCAATTTACCTCTCCCCAGCCGTTCCCTGCAGTCATTGATCCACCCACATTAATTCATTTAATAATTCCTGAGCGTCTGTTTTACGTCAGATCGCTTTCTCTCACCCCATGATCCCCCACTCTTCCTCGCTCCCGCCTCGGGCCATCCGCTATTCCCACCCCACTTCTAGCTCCCACATCCCTCCCCTCCTACCCTTAGCCTTTTCAGCTCCCAGGCCCAGCACTTCTCCCTCGGTCTCTCACTCTCGCCGACCAGCTCTCGCCCTCTCCCCCTTTCCCCCAAGCCTGGGCCTCGGTTCGAGACTCTCAGAAGGCCTCCCAGGAGCTTCAAAGCCTGTCCCGCACCCACAAGCCCCTTGGGCTCCCATCACTTGAAACGTCGGTTAACCGCGCAGGGCGACCCCTAGAGATTCCACTCTTTCAAATCCCCCTGAGACCCCCGCCAGGTGGCCCTGCTGCCGTCACGCTCCCGAGGGTCTCCCTGTCCCCGAGCCCTGGGTCTCTACCCCTCCGTCCCCTTCTCGGGGCCCAGGCAGGGCGGCACGGCTCATCCTCCCCTGCCCAGCGTCACACTCACTGCTTGCGGGTCCCCAGCGCCGACGGGACGAAACCGTCCTCCCCGGGACTGCCCTTGTCCGACAGCGCAGCCACCTCAGCGCCACTGCCGCCGTCAGCATCCGAGCTCATCTCGCTCCACGTCCTGGACGGCCGTTGGGTCCGCCATAGAGACGGGGCACAGGCAGAGCGGACAAGCGGGCCGGCGCCTCTAGGCGGCGGGAGGCCGCCCTCTCGACTGCTCCATCCCCCGCGCTGGGGCTGGGCTGGCGACGCGAAGCCCTCCGGGCTGTACCCGGCCTCCAGGCGCCGGCGCGGACCGTGGGCTCTCCCCAAAGCATTAGTGGTACCCCCTTCGTCGAGGTCCAAGCGCGGCTGTATTTGGGGACTGCTGTTTGTGAGGGACCATTAGAGATATTGCATTTTGGTAAAAGACTAGCTTCGGTACTGTGGACACCTAAAGCCGACGCCGCTCTACCCAAACACAGAAATCACCTCACCTCCGCACCGTGTGCGCCCGTCTGCGAAGCGGATGAGAGCGTCCATCCAGTTATTTGGCTCCTCGACAAGAGGCCAACTTCGTTTCTGGCTGAGATTCTGACTTCAAAATTGCGTTCTGGCCTCTTGTGATTTGATGTCACCAGTAAACGATGGAAATTTATGTCCAGGGAAAGGAATGCCCTGCAACTCCCCACAATATGCCGAACACGGGGATCAGTGTGTTGTGAAAGAAAGACTGCTAAGTGAGAGGATGCCTGGCCTCGACCCAGGCACCTGGCCTTGTCTAAGTGTTTTGGGGTTTTTTTGTGTTTTGTTTGTTTGTTTTGTTTTGTTTTTTTGAGACAAAGTTTCGCTCTTGTCGCCCGGGCTGGAGTGCAATGCAATGGCGCCATCTCGGCTCACCGCAACTCCGCCTCCCGAGTTCAAGCGATTCTCCTGCCTCAGCTTCCCGAGTAGCTGGGATTACAGGCGTGCGCCACCACACCTGGCTAATTTTGTATTTTTAGTAGAGATGGGGTTTCTCCATATTGGTCAGGCTGGTCTCTCCAAGTCCCGACCTCAAGTGATCCGCCCACCTCGGCCATCTCGGCCGTCCCAAAGTGCAGGGATTACAGGTGTGAGCCACCGCGCTTGGCCTCTTGCCTAAATCTTAACCTCTGTGTGTTTCCTCCCTGTACCATGTCAGAAGTAGGCGGTGACTTTGTTCCACAAGACTGGTCCCAACCCGCGAACCGGAGATTGCATCTGCCTCTAGGTCTGACTGCCATTGGTAGATCTGCAGTATAATACGAGAGATCTTATGGGCCAAAGTCTGGGGTATTTTCTGTAGTAGCTATGAAATGCTGTTGGTCCAATGTCCTAGGAAAGGCCCCCAAAGACCCCTAGCAAGACTGCCTTCCAACCAAAAAGCATTGTTTCTAAGCCACGTTTCTGTTGGCTTGGCAGACAGAAGAGCAGTAGCAAGTCCCTAAAGATAAAACAGCATTAGAAATCCTTCCTAGAATCGGAAGCGCATCTCCTATACATGGTGTTCTGAGATCATCAGGCAGCCACTAGTAATAGGGTAAGGTAAAAGGCACATGGGAGGCCAGACGCGGTGGCTCACACCTGTAATCCCAGCACTTTGGGAGGCCAAGGCGGGCAGATCACGAGATCAGGAGATAGAGACCATCCTGGCCAACATGGTGGAACCCTGTCTCTACTAAAATACAAAAAATTAGCCAGGCATGGTGGCGGGTGCCTGTAGTCCCAGCTACTCGGGAGGCTGAGGCAAGGGGAATCACTTGAACCCGGAAGACGGAGATTACAGTGAGCAGAGATTGTGCCACTGCACTCTAGCCTGGCGACAGAGTGAGACTCTGTATTAAAAAAAAAAAATGGCAGATGGAAATCCATGTGCATAGTGGTTAAACAAAAGGCCGGGCGCAGTGACTCAAGCCTGTAATCCCAGAATTTTGGGAAGCTGAGGCAGGCAGATTACTTGAGATCAGGATTTCGAGACCATCCTGGCCAACATGGCGAAACCCCATTTCTACTAAAAAGATAAAAATTAGCCAGGCATGGTGGCAGTTGCCTGTAATCCCAGCTACTCAGAAGGCTGAGGCAAGAGAATTGTTTGAACCAAGGAGAGGATGGTTGCAGTGAGCAGAGACTGCACCACTGCACTCCAGCGTGGGCAACAGTGTGAAACTTTGTCTAAAAAAAAAATTTCAAGAAAGAGCTTTAGTAACCTTATTACAGAGCAATAAAACCACCTGATGCCACAGCCAATTAGTGCTGGGCAAGTGGTTGTTTTGATCTTTTCTAGGTTCTAGATGCTAGAGAAAGCAAGCTTGATTGGGGCTGAGTGAGCCTTTAAGAGTTTTAGGGCCGGGCGCGGTGGCTCAAGCCTGTAATCCCAGCACTTTGGGAGGCCGAGACGGGCGGATCACGAGGTCAGGAGATCGAGACCATCCTGGCTAATACGGTGAAACCCCGTCTCTACTAAAAATACAAAAAACTAGCCGGGCGAGGTGGCGGGCGCCTGTAGTCCCAGCTACTCGGGAGGCTGAGGCAGGAGAATGGCGGGAACCCGGGAGGCAGAGCTTGCAGTGAGCTGAGGTCCGGACACTGCACTCCAGCCCGGCGACAGAGCGAGACTCCGTCTCAAAAAAAAAAAAAGTTTTAGGTCAGCCAGGCCCAGTGGCTCATGCCTGTAATCCCAGCACTTTGGGAGGCTGAGGCGGGCAGATCACGAGGTCAGGAGATCGAGACCATCCTGGCTAACATAGTGAAACCCCGTCTCTACTAAAAATACAAAAAAAATTAGCTGGGCATGGTGGCTCGCACCTGTAGTCCCAGCTACTCGGGAGGCTGAGGCAGGAGAATGGCATGAACCTGGGAGGTGGAGCTTGCAGTGAGTCGAGATCGCACCACTGCACTCCAGCCTGGGCGACAGAGTGAGACTCTGTCTCAAAATAAATAAATAAATATAAATAAATAAAAAATAATAATTTTTGTGAGTACGTAGTTGTATATATTTATGGGGTACCTGAGATGTTTTGATACAGGCATGCAATATGAAATAAGCACATTGGAGAAAGGGGTATCCATCCCCTCAGGCATTTATCCTTTCAGTTACAAACAATACAATTACATTCTTTAAGTTATTGTAAACAATTAAGTTATTATTGACTATAGGCACCCTATTGTGCTATCGAATAGTAGGTCTTATTCTTTTTTTTTTTTTTAACCCATTAACCATCCCCACTCCCCACCAACTTCCCACTATCCTTCCCAGCCTCTGGTAACCATCCTTCTACTTTGTATGTCCATGAGTTCAATGGATTTGATTTTTAGATCCCACAAGTAAATGAGGACATGTGATGTTTGTCTCTGTGCCTGGCTTATTTCACTTAAGGTAATGATCTGCAGTTCTATCCATGTTGTTGCAAATGATCACGTTTCTGTTGTCTTGGCAGACAGACAACTTTGGCCCTCATTCTTTTTTGTGTATTCCCTTGTGTCTATGTGCTACATTTGCTTTATTCATTCATCTGTTTTTGGACACTCAGGTTGCTTCCAAACCTTAGCTATTGTAAACACTGCTGCAACAAACATGGGTGTGCAGTTATCTCTTTGATACACTGATTTCCTTTCTTTGGGGTACATACCCAGGAATGGGATTACTGGATCATATGGTAGCTCAATTTTTAGTCTTTTGAGGAAACTCCAAACTGTTCTCCAATATGATTTGACTAATTTCCATTCCTACCAACAGTATACAAGGGTTCCCTTTTTTCCATGTCCTCGCCAGCATTTATTATTGCCTGTCTCTTGGATAGAAGCCATTTTTTTTTTTTTTTTTTTTTTTTGAGACAGAGTCTCACTCTGTCACCCAGGCTGGAGTGCAGTGGCACGATCTCCGCTCACTGCAAGCTCTGCCTCCGGGTTCACGCCATTCTCGTGCCTCAGCCTCCCGAGTAGCTGGGACTACGGGCGCCTGCCACCACGCCTGGCTATTTTTGTATTTTTAGTAGAGACGGGGTTTCACCGTGTTAGCCAGGATGGTCTCGATCTCCTGACCTCGTAATCCGCCCACCTCGGCCTCCCAAAGTGCTGGGATTACAGGCGTGAGCCACTGCGCCCAGCCGATAGAAGCCATTTTAACTGGAGTGAGATGATATCTCATTATAGTTTTGATTTGCATTCCTCTTATGATCGGTGATGTTGAGCACCTTTTCATATGCCTGTGTTAGTGACTTCTGATTCCAACCTCTTGCTCTCCCTCCAGATTTGTATTTTCTCTTATTTTATTGTATTGCAGCTGCCTGGATGTCCCTTGCTGCATTAAACTCAATGTGTTCAAAATTGAACTCACTTGCATTACCATCCCCACACCGTGCCTCCCCTCCAAACCCTTTCTCCTCTGTGTTTGCAGGTGGTCCCTGACCATCTACACTGTCACCCAAAGCGGAGCATCATCCTCCTCCTTTCCTCCCTGCACAGCTCCTCTTGGTCTCTTCCTGGTCCCTGGGCTCACTTCCTTCTGGCCACTCAGGCCATTGCAGCAGCTTCTGAGTAAACCTTCCGCGAGCCATTTGGCACTTGGCCCTTCCTCAGGCCCCAGCTATGCCTTGTTTCCCATTCCCTCTTGAAAGGCCTCCAAGACTTGCCCAGTTTTCCTCTCCTTCAGTGCCTGACATCACTCACTCTTTTCCTTTGCATTTTCCCAACTGATCATGGACTGTAGAGGCAAACTGACTTGAACTTGAATCACAACTTAGTCCATACAAGGTATGACCTTGAGTGAGTTACTTAATTTAAACATCTTAAGTCGCAGTTTCCTCAAATGGGCATAATCCAAATGAAGCTGCACTTTCTCGTTCCCACTTTCAGGCCCATCATAGCCAAGAGTGGCATTCTCATGCAATGCTTTGCATTGTATTGATACATATAAATGGAATCTTACTATTTACATGTTTGCATTTTACATCTTCATTTAACAATATTCCAGTGATATACTGTACTTGGAAATCTTTTTTTGTCAATGCCTATGGATCTCTTACCTTTTAAACTAATTCATGATAATAGAAATGATGGCTGGCAATCGTACAGCTGTCACTGTGTGCCAAGAACTGTGTTCAGTGCATCCAATGTATTATTTCAGTTACTCCTAAAGATAGCCACATTCCCAGCACTTTGGGAGGCCAAGGCAGGCAGATCACGAGGTCAGGAGTTCGAGACCGGCCTGGC